TGGCGTAGTGGTTAAGGCTGTGGACTTCCAACTTTGGTTCAAGTCCTGGACCCCATGGCTTGAAAAGTCATGCCGGCCCGTGTGCAAGTGAGCCCCAAATCCCAGGAGAGTGGAAGAAAAGGGACTGTGGCGGGGCCATCGTCCCTGGGGGGCGATTTCTCAATTTCACTCTTACTGTTTCTGCAGTGAGGGATTTGCCCTATGACAAAAACCCTCATTGTATTTAATTAATAATTCACCAAAACGTCCCTATTAAGGCCTCATTGTTAGTGATCCTTATTAAGTGTAGTAAGAATTCTTTTTTTCTTTCTTAGAGAGATTTTTACTGTAGGGTACGTGTGCTTGCCAGAGGGACAGAGAGACAGAAAGCAAGACACCATTCCCCCAAGGAGGATGTCCATGCCATGGTCCCTTCTCCTCCAGTCTCCTCTCAGGATTTTGGGCTTAAAACTCACAACCCCCGGGTGTGAGTTTTAAGCTGCTGGGTCTAGGATTCGAACCATGATCAACTACGTGGGTATCCAGCGATGTAACCATTACGCCATTTGCTGGCCACAGTAATGAATTCTTTGTATACAAAGTCCTGGATCTCTTGGTAAAAGCAATAAGTTCCTAGAAATATATAAGCAAATGTACATCAGAGTTTTTCTTTGATTTAGAAAAAGCAATTACATTCTTTGACGAGGAGATTAAATGAACAATTTTATTATTTAAGATATCAAATTATAATTTCAAGTAAGACAAATTTTCCTATGAGGTAGGAATTGCTGATGTTTAAAAAGTACTGGGAGCCGAAGTATCCTGACCCCACCTGTCCTCACCGGGATGGCTCCAAAAGCGGAGAAAGATACGGGGTGTCGCGGGGTGGAGAGTCCGCCCTGTCGGCAGGCGTGGAGACGGCCGGGCAGTCCTCCCACAGCCGGGCACAACTGCGTCTTTGCACCGGCACTCTCCTCCAGGAGTGTCCCTGGGATTCTTGAAAAATAGCTGTTCAAAAAAATTGGAATGTTCACAGCAGCATTAATCGCAGTGACCAAAAGATGGAAAAACCCCGTGTCCACCCGGGCGAGTGGGTGATCTGGCACCCCACACTCAGACGGTGCTCTCCCAGGGCGAGTGGGTGATCTGGCACCCCACACTCAGACGGTGCTCTCCCGGGGCGAGGGGTGACGTGGTACCCCGCAGTCGGAGGGCGCTCTCCCGGGGCGAGTGGGTGACCTGGCACCCTGTAGTCGGAGGGCGCTCTCCTGGGGTGAGGGGTGACCTGGCACCCTGTAGTTGGAGGGTGCTCTCCCGGGGCGTGGGGTGACCTGGCACCCCGCAGTCAGAGGGCGCTTCTCCCGGGGCGAGTGGGTGACCTGGCCCCCTGTAGTCGGAGGGCGCTCTCCTGGGGTGAGGGGTGACCTGGCACCCTGTAGTTGGAGGGTGCTCTCCCGGGGCGTGGGGTGACCTGGCACCCCGCAGTCAGAGGGCGCTCTCCCGGGGCGAGGGGTGACCTGGCACCTCACAGTCGGAGGGCGCTCTCCCGGGGTGAGGGGTGACCTGGCACCCTGTAGTTGGAGGGTGCTCTCCCGGGGCGAGTGGGTGAGCCTGGCAGCCCCACTCAGTGCTCTCCCGGGGCGAGGGGTGACCTGGCACCCCGCAGTCGGAGGGCGCTCTCCCGATGCGAGGGGTGGTGGCCTGCACATGGAGTACTGTCAGGCCATGGAAAGGAGTGACACTCACATGTGCAGCAGCACAGCTGGGCCCAGCACCGAGTGCATGTGACATGTGACTCGTCACGTGAAATGCCGAGAGGAGCCCGCCCAGGAGAGAGCAGCGGAGAGCGTCGGGGGCTGGCCGTGCAGCGGGAGAGGCCCTGAGCTGTCCGCAGACCTGGCGGGATGTCCCAGAGCCTGTGGGGCGGTGGTTGCACAGCACTAGGGATGAACCAAGAGTCACTGAAGCGCCCACTTTAAAGTGCTAAAATATAGGCCAGCAGGTGGCAAAGAGCTTCGGATGGCTGGGCCCCACCCTGCTGCACAGTCAGGGTCCTGGAGGGCGTGGCAGCCACACGGGGCAAGTGTGCGTGCACGCCCTGAGTGCCAGGAGGAGACTGGAGGAGCAGGGGTTGGCCGTCCCCCCGAGAAGCCATTTCTCAATTTTCCTCTCTCGCTCTCTGATAAGCGCATGTGCCCGACAGCAAAACGAATAAATAAATAAACGAATGAAAGTTCAAATAGTAAACTCAATGTCACTACTTGTGTTAGAATTTTTAAAATATGCTGTTTATATTTTGGTAATTTAATATTCAAACAAAAATAAAGTGTTCAGAGTAAAATCTCGACAAGGCCCCTGAACAGTTGTGGATCTGCTTGACTTTTAGTTCAACCACGAGAAGCCTGAAGAATAACCATGTAATAGGGGCAAACCCGCTGCCTGGGAACAGCGTCCTGGGGGCAAACCCGCCGCCTGGGAACAGCGTCCTGGGGGCAAACCCGCCGCCTGGGGACAGCATCCTGGGGGCAAACCCGCCGCCTGCGAACAGCGTCCTGGGTGAGAATGCTGAGCTGCCCTGTTCGAATCTTTCCAAAGTGATCAAAAACTTGGGGATGAGGAGGTAACCCGATTTCGAAGGTGTGTTTCGTATTTGGACTTTCATGAGAAGGGGCCCGTGTTCTGTCTGACGTGTGCACGTTAGGCTCACAGTTTGGGACATCTCTGACACAAAGGTGGGGTCGTGTTCGCAGTGGCAAGTTCTGGTCCCGTGCACGCTGGTAGTCGGCCTGGTCAGCGCGGTCACGCGTGCCTCCGTGTGGAGCCCTCGTACCTGATGTACCATGAGCTACCTGGAGCCAGGGGCAGGGAGCAGGTGGGCTGAGGCAGTGGCAGCTCCCCACCTGGCCCTGAGATGTAGTGAGGTGCCCCATGCCCCCGCGGGTCCTGCAGTCCCATGCTGCGAGACTTAACTTTTCCTAGGACTGAAAGGTCTGCGTGGGGCTGAGCGGGCTGGGGGCGGGCTGCGGGCCTGAGAACCAGCTAACCAGCGGCCAAGGCACGGTCCACGCCGGGAACGAAGCCACACGTTGTTCGGAAAATCTGTGCTCACTCTGTGTGTCCCCATGGAGCCGAATGTGAAAGCAATCTGTGCCCACCTGCACCCTGGGGCCCTCGGAGCTGGAACACACACGGCTTCTCCCTGAGAGGCTGAAAGGTCAGGTTCTTTTGAAAAGCAAGCGCAGAGGCCCAGTGAGGTGGCAGGCTGCCCTGGAACCGCACGATGCTGGCGCCTGTGGCCAGCGGGGCAGGGGCCGATGCCAGAGCCCGGGACCAGGCAGGTTCTCTCAGGCAAGACCGTGGTGCTCCAGGCAGCCTGCTACGCCCCCATCAACTGTGCAGGCGTGAAGGCGTGTAGGTGGCGGGGCTGTCATCTGCACATGGCGACACGGCTGCAGCCTTGAGCCGGTGCCCGGAATGGCATTTTGCTGTAGCCAGCACTTAGGACTCCGGAGCAGGGAATGTCACCGTCTAGAGACAGCAGTTCGGAAGCGTCTCCTGATTGCTCTCCGCGTTCTCGGCACTATGTCTGAATCTCAAGCATTTAAACCCTGGGGCAAACCGTTCCCTTCAGGTCTGAAGTTCAGATGGTTCGAAGATGGGAGGGGTAGTGGTTCCCAGTGTGTCCTGAGGGGGTGGTGGTGGCTGCAGGGCCCTCTCCGCGGGTACAGGAGCTTGTCCTGGGGAATCTGCAGGGTGCACACCCTGGGTATAGGAGCTTGTCCTGGGGAATCTGCAGGGTGCGCACCGTGGGTACGGGAGCTTGTCCTGGGGGGCCTGCCAGGTGCTCACCCCAGGTATGGGAGCTTGTCCTTGGGGTCCGGCCTCAGGCACTCACTCTGGGCACTCACACTTGTCCTGGGAATGCACTTGCTTGTATGGGGACACGGTCTGAAGCTGGCGTCCGGTGTGGCGTGTCCCGTATTCTGTGCAGTGCGGTGTGAACTGGGCGGTCTGAGGAGAACTGCGACGGCTCATGGCCGTGGCTGTTTCGGGTTTCCTTGTGAGGTTTTCAGTGCGATACCCACAGTCCTGTGTCCTTGGGTTTCTGTCCCCACCGTACCAAGTCCCTGGACCGTCTTTAGGTGGTGACTGCTACGTGGTGCTTTACACAGCTCCACTCTCTGCCGTCAGTGCGTGAGCACGGAGAGGCAGAGACACGGGCCCTCCGTGGGCTCGCACAGCAATCCCGTCTGCCCTGCCTCTGTCTCATGGGGCTGAGGCCGCACTTGAGCTGGTCGGCCACGTGGGATTCGCCACCTCCCCACTCGCCCACAGCCATCCTGGCCCGCACTCCCATGTTGCAGTCCCCGTGAACACAGGGACAGGTGGCAGGCCTGGGATGCCCGCCGCTACTGCTCGGCTGTCAGACCCCAACCCACGTGGTGGAAGCAGGAGCTCAGGGTCGGCCTTGAGATCCTGGGAAACGGGGAAGCGGGGGGCAGGGGGGACAGAGGGGCCCTGTCTCCTTCTGAAGGGGGGCTCGGCCTGGGCGAGGGCGGAGTCAGGGGTGGGGCTGAGCTGCCCAGAGAGCTCCCTGCCCCTCCTCTGGAGAGCGCTAGCTGTAAGAGGCTTCTACCAGGCCAGTCTGCGCTGGGCCCCGATGTTCCCCATACACCTCCTTGGCCGGAGGAGAGGAGCGCCCGCCTGCCTGCCGGACTCCGGCATCGCTGCACGCTAGGGCTACAAGGCCCACCCAAGGCCCACCATGTCACTGGGCCGCCGAGGAAGCCCTCAGTCTCCTGTAGGGCTCTGCTGCTCTGACCTCCGCCTGTCATTGGGTAAAACCCAAGGGTGTGAGGGGCTCCTGCCCAGCCGACGCTGAGCCCAGGCCCGGCCCCCCAGGGAGCCCGTCGGGCCTCGTGCTCGCAGGCGCCTCTGTGGCGGGCGGGCGTGTCTCCTGGCGTCCGCTCCGGCCGGTCTCTCCCCCGCTGTGTAACCGCTCTGCCCTGTCCCTCCTGCAGATGTGTCCAGGTGTGTGGCCGAGAGGAAGTACACCCAGGAGCAAGCCCGGAAGGAGCTGCAGCAAGTGTTCATCCCAGAGTGCGCCGATGACGGCACCTACAGCCAGGTGACCGGGCTCCAGGGAGTCTGCACTGCGGGGAGCGGGGCGGCCGGTCCGTGTGGGTCAGTGCTGTCCACACTGCACCATGTCAGAGTCTGGTCCGGGCGGCTCCTCTGCGGGGCTGAGCGGGCCCGCTCAACCTGCTGGCCATCAGCGCCTCCACTCTCAGGGGCACGCCAGCATCCCGCGGGGCGCCTTGACTCGAGTCCAACCCCACGCTCACTGGTGGGAGCCGGGCCGGGCAGTGCGAGAGCCCTGGTCTCTGCAGCGTCTCGACACCATTAACCTTCACTTAGGAAAAAGATTGCCAAAATACGACGTTTGGGTAGAAAACCGAAATAGGACCTGCTGTGTTTTTGTCCAGTTTCATTTGACTCTATTTCTTATTTACCTTTCACTGTACATCTTCCGGGTGCAGTGTGGCTGTCTGAAGCACAGCAGTGTTGACGGTCCTGTCAGGGTCATTGTCACTGCAGCGCCTTCAGTGAAGGCCTCTCTTCCTGTGTCTGTCACGTGCTGTGTGTGTTGACATGCCTGCGAGCCCCCAGTTCATACTGGGAGTTCTGTGTTTTACGATGACTGTGTCCCTCCGAGAGACTAAGGAAGGGGAGAAGCAGGGAGAGGCGGAGGGGCTGGGGCTCGCGGCCATGCCCACTCCTGCTGGGGCGAGGTGGGGGCCGGAGGCCCAGAGGCGTGATGGCGAGGCCCCAGCAGGTGGACGCCTGTGTCCCCTTCCTGCCAGGGACCAGCTGGACACCACACAAGTGTCTAGAGCACCGCAAGCCTCAGTCCCCTCTGTAAGCTGAGGGCCCGGGCTGTCTTGAAGGCAGTAAGGACTGTTAGACCTGACTGTTACCATGCCCAGCGCGTGCTGGTGTCTGGCCAAAGTGTCCTCGGCCACTTCGTCTGAGAAACTCCATAGTCAAGGTCACCACACTGTCTGCAGGCCATGACATGGGCCGTCTCCATGTCCTGAGACGGTGGTCCGGGCGGGGCTGGAAGGCGTGCAGCCCGGAGTGCTCACTGTGTGCATCCTCTGTCCACAGGTGCAGTGTCACAGCTACACGGGGTACTGCTGGTGCGTCACACCCAACGGAAGGCCTATCAGTGGCACTGCTGTGGCCCATAAGACACCCCGCTGCCCAGGTAGGTGGGACTTGGCTTTCAAAGAGAAACGTTCTGTGGAAATCTGTTTGCTGTTTTTTCTAACCATCTTACCTGGGGGCTTATAGTTCAGAAGGAAATTCTGCTCAGGCTGAATTATGGTCAGTGCTGGGCAAAGCCTGCAGGGTCGTGGAACCGTGTTCACAGGCCGGGGAACAGGTGCGTGCACGCCCACACAGATGGAGGCTGGCTCGCCAGCCGGGGGCACCCCGGGTCTGAGTCACGAGGTCAGGAATCTAATCTGTGAGAATAAGCACAGGAACGGTCTCCACCGCAGGCGGTCAAAGGTATTCTTCGTCCCGACGAACGAGACAGGGTCTGCATATACACATGCACCCTCAAAGGGAAAGCGGGCCGTCCCTCGCAGGGCGGCCTGCGGACGGTTTATGGTACTGTATTACTTAGGGGCTCGATTTACTGGATGGGGTGGAACTGGCAGGCCCGTCATTTATAAAACAGTCCCTTTTCATGAATGGCGACAGAAGATGCTATACGTGACTGAGGTGGGTTTACTTGGACGCGGCCTCCGCTCGAGTTTGATCAGTTTCTCAGCGACCCCATGGGCTGCCTATAAAGACATCTCATCACCTGTCCACCAAACTTCCTGGGCCGTACACAGGAAGAGGTGTGGTGGCAGTGAGCCGTTGGCGAGGCTGAGCCCACTGGGGAAGGGCCCCTCCACTCCCGGGTGTGAGCCCAGACTCACGTTGACGGAGGCTGGGCAGAGTTGCAGCAGGGGGCCCCGCCGGGCGCGTCTGTCTTTCTCTCTTTCTCTCTTTCTGGTTCTCTCATGAAAGGAAAAAAAAAATAGGCAAAAAGAAAGTCACGATATACCAAGAACGAAGGGCCGTCCTTCCCAATTCTTCACGCAGAATAAGCAGCATTTGTGGTTCCAGTTACTTTTGGATTCGCTCTAGCCTCAGTGGGGAACTAGGAGCTTATCAGACGGCTGTGAGCCTGGGGCCACGCCGCAGGTGGGCTGCCGAGTGTCTGTGGCTTCTGTGAGGCGACAAGGTTCCCGACTGACAGTGACACGGCCCACTGCCAAGCGAAGGCCGTGGGCACACACGATGGAGGAACTGAAACAAGTCTATTTTCAAACTGGGGCAAGGCTTGACACACATTGAAAAAAATAACCATAGTTAACACTCACTCCTCATGGTTCTTTACAAAGTCAGGGAGAGAGCAAAGGGGAGAGAAGCCTGGCCGAGTGCTCCGCGCCCCCATGCCCCTGTGCCCCCGCGCCCCTGCACGGAAGGAGCCTTGGCAGTCCCGTTGCACCCAGAGAGCAGCGCTTGGAGCGGAGCCTTATTTAGGGACAGGCCTTTCACTGTGAGGGCCACACTCCTGAAAGCTCGGTGGTGTCAGGGACCCTCCACGTGTGTGTTGTTGGGAGCTGTGTTTGAGACAGGGCCTCCCTCCTCACGTCCTCCGGCCTCCCTCCAGAGTCTCTGGGGCTACAGGCCAGCCGCCCACCCGGGGAAGAGGTTTCATTTTTGTACGGCCGTGTGCAATTCTTTTCTTTCCTGTGTTTTTCTTCTTTTATTTTATCGCCAGAGAACATGCATGCTCGCCAGAGAGAAAGAGAAAATGCCCCCCAATGGCCCTGGTTCTGCCGCAGCCCTTTTTCCTCCACGCCTCCACCCTGCAGGGTCTGGGGCATGTACACCTGGCGTGCTTTGCTCAGGTCACTGAGGCTGGATCCCACCGCTCTGCCATGGGGAAGCCAGCTCCCTATGCCCGGGCCTCGCCGCTGCACAGGGACCCAGTCTGCCATGTGGGTTTCTCTGGTCCAAGGAAAGAG